ACCTCCGGTCCTGCAGCATTCGTGAGGCGCTGCCGTCGTACATGGACTGAGTACCATTCCCGACTGGTTCGGAACCAGGAACGGTTCACCTCCGTGGCTAACCGCCGGAGGTCTGCTGCTCCGGAGTACAAGGTGGGTGACAGGGTTTGGCTCTCTTCGGCTGATCTGCCACTGAAGGGGGGTGCCAGGAAGATGCGGCCCCGATTCATCGGACCCTTCCCCATCACCAAGGTCATCAACCCAGTAGCCGTCAGGTTGGAGCTCCCTCGGGCACTGAGAGTCCACCCTGTGTTCCATGTGAGCAAGCTGAAGCCTGAGAAACTCTGTTCCCTGCAGACGCCACCTGCGGTCCCTCCAGCTCCCCGCATTGTGGATGGTGGTCCTGTCTACAGCGTGAATAAGCTCTTGGCCTCGAGGAGAGTGGGCAGGGGCGTCCAATACCTCGTGGACTGGGTGGGTTACGGCCCGGCGGACAGGCAATGGGTCCCAGAACGCCACATCCTCAGCCGTGATCTGATCGATCAGTTTCACCGGGAACACCCCACCCAGCCGAGACGTCCGTCTGGGAGCCGGACTTTGTGAGGAGGGTTATGTTATGATTCGCCCCTTTTTGTGTTTGTGTTTAACTTTTTCTCTGTTGTTTTTGTTCAGATCAGCTGCAGCTCCTCTCAGGAATCCTCCCCTTCCCTGTGAACCTCCTGGAGTGCTGCAGCTGAACCACATCATCTTGATTGCCCTCACCCTATTTCAGGCCACTGCTGCCAGTCATCAGTGTGGAGTTGTCTTTGCTGAGTTGTACTTGTATGGATTGAGTTTGGTTTTGGTTTTTGGTTCCCACAGTCAGTGGAGGAAGTTTGTTTATTAAATCTTTTTTGAACTCTGGATAAAGGATCTTTATTCCTGCAAATGGGTTACTGCAGAGGCAAACCGTGACACACTTAGAAAATGTTCCCTGATGATGAAACTTTGGCTGAATAGTGCTTGTTCCTGTTTCCAATGTGGCGTCTGAGGAGAGTCCCAGAATCTCACATCGTCTTCAGCTCAGAAAGCGCCTATATGATTACGCACAAGCGTGACGCGTCAACCCGGTCACACAGTAGACCGGGTTGGACCTGCAGGTTTACGCAGACAATCTTTACATTTAGAATTAGCTTACAGATGTAAATTTTATGCAGTAAAATATAAAGCATTTTATTTAAATATCCATTCATTATTTTACAAGCACAGAGAGCCGCATCAGATGGATGGAAGAGCCTCATGCGGCTCCAGAGCCGCGGATTGCCGACCCCTGAGCTAGGGCATGTGCGGAGGACACACACACACACAAGAAAAATATACTTGTTTTCAATTACGTTCATTGGGCCCACTTACATTTTCTTAGGCCCAGCCACAAATGAGTTTCTGGCTATGCTAATGGTGACTTTTGACAGACTTCTCTGAGCTCCGCAGCCATTACACTTTTCACCTCGCGCACCCCCTAGCGGCAACTCGCGCACCCCCAGGGGTGCGCGCACCACACTTTGGGAATCCCTGGTCTACAGCAATGGAATCTGGAAAAGTTTCCAGATATCACACGGCAGATATCCCATAAGGACACTAATGCTCAGTGGCCTAGTGGTAGAGTGTCCGCCCCGAGACTGGGAGATCAGGGTTCGATTCTTGGTCGGGTCATACCAAAGACTTTGAAAAAAATGGGAGCCAATGCCTCCCTGCTTGACACTCGGCATTAAGGGGTTGGATTGGGGGGTTAAACCACCAAATGGTTCCCGAGCGCGGCCGTGTCTGCAGCTCACTCCTCCCCCAGGGGACGGGTCAAATGCGGAGAACAAATTTCGCACACACATTAGTTATGTGTGACAACTAATGGGACTTAAACTTTAAGGTTGCATGCATTGCAATGACAGGTCTCTCTCTCTCTCTCTCTCTCTCTCTCTCTCTCTCTCTCTCTCTCTCTCTCTCTCTCTCTCTCTCTCTCTCTCTCTCTCCATGATTAACTGGTTCAGTCACCTTCATTGTTTATTGAAGCTTTACTTAGTCCTTGCTGCTCCAAATGCAACTAAGTGGAGACTCATCGCTGCACTCTGACTATAAAGTTTTCAGGTTTACTGACTTTAAAGTTCAAGCAAGTTAAGAAACACATACATTTTTTACCAGTTTATGTTATCAATGATCTTACGTTGTATTTATGTTGATATGTATGATTAAGACAAAAACATGTTGGAATGAAACTAATTTATAGGCTGTTAGAATATGTCGTTTTTATCAAATGTTTTTATGGAAAAAAATTCTGAAGGAATTAGGAAACTAAACATTAGAACGCGTTACAACAGTTTTATTAATAATCACACTCGTGCACACTTTTTTCTTTTAGTTCAGCAGTTATCCCGGCAAGTGTTCTTTTGCCTGCTGCTGTGGGAAAAAAAAAACAACAACCAGGAAGGAAAGAGTAAGAAAAAAAAACACAACCACAACGGTCCGTGTCCATTACGGGCAACCGATTTTCCTTTGGAGAAAAAAAAATAGGGAAACGAGCCGTTTTGCTGATCACCAATCAAAAAACGAAAGAATGTAAACGGATGTCAACTCGTTTTTTGTTTTTCTATTTTCAACATAAAAAAGGAAAACGGAAAACAAACTTTTTTTTTTGTTTTTCGATAGTGTATTTCAAGATGAAACGTTTAAATCAGAAAATAAGGGGAAATAGCTCATTTTCTGCCTTAAATTTACCTTTTTCGCTGTGATCCGGAAGTTTACCTGCAAAAACACAAGCGAGACCCACAACCTGCACCAGCTGGACTATCTGGATTTTTAAAAATTCTTTGAGATTGGGTACAAATAGTTGTGGGTTTAGGGTACAGTAGATAACACCAACCTTTTCATTTCTAAACAGTTCACTCTACCTTCATGGGAAATCAATTCTGATTGGCAATGGGTCTATATAATGAACTGAAAAGGAGAAAAACATTAAGGTGTCCAAGAGATTAAGATCTTGTTGAATAAAGGCAGCTTGGGTAGGCAACTGTAGCACACCAAATAGTCAGAGCTGCTCACATCTGCATGTTTCTGCCCACTTCAGTTTTAGCAACATGTAAACGTTGGTCAAACTACTGCTAATGCTAACCTGAGCAGCTAATGTCCTTACTCTCAATTCCCTTCTCATGCTTCCCCCAGAAACGTTGTGCACATCTGCCTCAAACCCTCATACTGTTTTTACTCCGTCTGCCAGCCAGCGTTTGTTTACTATTTGCGTAGCTATAAACCAACCGTGAGAATGCCGACACTAAAAGGTTGAATGCCGCCACTTGCCATAGTGAAGCGAAACAAACTTATTCAATAATTTGGTTTTCTAATGTACTTTTAAACTAGGATAAAGTCTCCCAGTTCATTGCTGTAGGTTGACCTAGACTAGCTTAAATGCACATGTAAATGCACTCAGTAGCCGTTTTTACAAAATAATGCCGTGAATTTGCCGCAACGCCGTGGTGGCATCAAAACTGGTCCGAATGTGGCGGTAATGTGGCCCAATCGTGTCCTTTTTTACAAACGGTTACACAATGGTGGTATAAAGAGGGTATGGGGATGGTCTCTGCGCTGCCGCGGACTTCTGTTTATCTTGGGCATACCTTTCTTTTTAATTGCGATCAAATCTGCGATGGTAAAATTTTTTTGACAAGCCGCTGCTAAAGGTGTCTGTTCTCCGCAGTCCCTGTGCAGTCTCTGGTGATAGGACATTCAGCTCTAACAGAGAAAAAGTTTGCCACCTCAGCTGGTTTTGTTCAAAAAGCAAAACCTATGGCCCGTGTTTACTTTCATTTTCAGTGTAGTTGCCGGCCAAAGCTCGGCATTAACTCCCCACGTCATCATGATACCTCCCCCTGTTGTGCCAAGGCACAATCGCTGTTTATAAGACTGTTACGTCACATATATGACATCACCACATAATCTCTCCACTAACGTAGCTGCTACTCATCAAATAGCCAGATTTATGGTGGTTTTTTCCTCCTGTGGGAAGTTTGCTGAACTTACAGGCGTTTCCCCTCCGTTTTCTCCGTGTCTGTTTTGATGACGTCACTTTCGTGAAGCGCATTTGTAGTCCAGGTCTTATTTTCACACAAAACCTAAAATAGCATTTCCCCCTGTTTGAAAACAAGCATTTTCTTGGTTTCAAAAAGGTTCTTTAAAATCCACGGACATCATATGTGAAATCTGTGGCACAAAACAAGCGGAATTAGAAAATTGCATTTTTAGCCCCGTTGACTTGCATGCATTTTTTCGTTCTTCCGGGAAACCCGTGGTCCGGAAGTGACTTAGGCTCCCTATGCCTCTGACATATTACTTTAATAAGTGTAGTACGTGCTCCCTACCATAACACACCCAAGACAGCTAACACCAGCTAGGATGTATTTATCTACTTATCAATTTACTCTGTATAACTCCTCTTTTCTTGTTATCTAGAATCTTCTGGTGCTGATCTGTAATTGGCAGCAGCCATGAAGCTCATGGAACGGGAGTGAGAAAGTGATTGTAGCAACCAAAATTTTACCATTTTCACATATTGCATCTTTCAATAAAAAAATGCTAAGATGCCCTTTGATGCATAATGTTCACTACAGCGGACAGGTACACAAAATTGTTATTTATTTATTTTTGCTATTAAGCACAGCTGTTGAAGACTTTACTGCATTTGAGCCCCTCCATTTGGACTTCAGTAAGTGAAGCCAACATACTTCATGTTCAGAATACACGCTGTCCACTGAGGTGGACATGTAATAAATTATTAGCAAATAATTAAATGTTACTAAAGATATTCGCTGAAATTTGTTTCGTTCACACCTAAAGATGAATGAAAAGAATTGTTAAAAGAATCACGGTTGAAGATTTCATAATTCATGCATCAAAGGGTTAAGGACACCTTAAAATTATATAATTATTCAAAATCACATCCCTTAAAATAGCAATTATTTTAGTCATGTCTACGCATCAAATTAATATAAACTTACGTTACAGACCCAAAGCCACAAAGTGTGTTATCTCCTCCAATCACTGACACACAGTGAAGCTCACCTCTCTCATACAAACCGCATTTAACCTACTGAACTAGACCAGCCTGTTTGTTAAGTTTCACGTGTTCCTGTTTCTAAAGCGTGATCATCAGTCTCTGGGACCAATCGGCATTGTTGCTTTAGGAGGGATTGGCCACCAGATTAGAACATTTATGAGACACTTTGTGGAAAACCTGTTGCATGAAATGTACTCAACTGTTACAGCTGGCTTGCAGTTAGATGAAGTATAAATACTTATTTACTGTTGTAACGAAATAGAGTGATGTAACTATCTAGAGTTGTATTTTAATACACTGTAAGTAGATCACTTGTTATAATCAGAAGATGGGCTGTTTTTATCATCAGGGAGTTTAATTAAACACTCGGTATTGACTTTGAGACAAGAAAAGAGAGAGAGTTGGGATCGTTTGAGAATCTTTAATTTATTAATTATAAATTCTTAACAATCTACCAGGACTAACTCTGTGATGGATGAAAATGGATTTGGATGTTGCGTTGGTGCGTGTGTGTGTGTGTGGTTGGTTCAGACTCCTTAGGCTGACGTCATTGAATCTGGTAGTCTTTGTTATGACTAGATATCACGAGGCTTATAAAGTGATGACATGAGCTGCTATTTTGCCGTGTACGTACCCAGTGGGGGCCTCCCAGGTAGATCAGGAAATGCCAGGTCCAAGAACCTCGGATGTGTACTGGAGCTGTCGAAGCAGCGGTCGCAGCACGTCAAAGCCCATCTGAAGGGTCGACCCCGGTAACAATCGGCAGCGTCAGCAGGTGCTCTTATTTTGAAAGGATATCGTCTGGTTGTTAAACGACGAAAATCTCCAACTTCACAGTTCTTAGTTTAAAGAAGAAAACACATCTGGCCAGCCTGTGCTTCTCTTTGGGATGACGGTGACTAGAACTGAAGTCAAAATGGAACTGAGCTTAAAATGGCGTTGCCTTGTTTTATATCTCTGAATTGTTGATAAGTTTTAGTAAAGCGGATTGGACACTTTAAGTCAACAAGCCAGATTCTCCTGCGGCAGCCGAAAGCTCTGATTGGTTGGAACAATGTGTCCTGCATTTCTATGGAGATGAGGGTCAGTCTGTCTGTGCAGTAGTCCTGTTTTCATTAAACACATAAATCATGACATCTTTATTCCACAGATCATTCACTTGATTAATTATTGATGAACATCTGTTTCGAATAGCTTTAATCACAAATTAAGTACTTTGATTATTGAAAAGCTTCTTCTTCTCCTTCTGGCTCTTCTCCTGGAATGTAAACAGTCTGAGGAACACCCGACCTTGGCGTTTTCTACACGGGTGTTACTGTGCACAGGGGCAGCTGTGTGGAGCTGAAAATAATGAACTTCATAACCTTACATATCCCCCCTTTTCAAGGTCAATGTGGTCCTTCAAGAGACCACTTGGTCGTTGAACAAACCCAAGTTATGAAGAATCTTGACAACAGAACAGGATGCGGTCCCAAGGGAACAGCCATCTGTGGTGAGGTACGAACCCCACGCCGGAGAACAGTCTTGCATACTCCTCAGGAAGAACACAAGTCAGCAGGTTATTAATTATTCCCCATGGAAGCCATAAATGAAGCAACAGCAACTTTATATCCTCACGGGCAATAAAGCAAAGCAGGAGCATATCTTGTACGTATCCACGAACAGGGTAGTATTCCAATTAAAAATCGATTGTTGTATCCGCAGGCAGGGTAATATTCCAAAGAAAAATTGAACTTTGAAAGAGTACTTATCGTAATCCACAAAAAGGGGAAGAGCAGTTGACAGTAATCCCAACGAATGAGGTGTCCCAGCAGCCATGCCGGAACCACAGTCGTCCAAGGCCAATGAGCCGGAGCACCCTCAGGAGTAGTCGATGCAGATGACGAGTCACGGATCCACCCCCCAGGAAGCAGGATCCTCACAAGCTCAGCAGAGGAGAGAGAGCACAGTGTAGGCACTTTAATGTAGACACGACAAAAGTGCATTTCATGTCATCAAAGAAATAAAAAATAATAAAAACCTAACTCTGTGAGTGCCTTTTGTACTATGTGTTAGTTTTATGTGTAATTACCCATGAAGTGAAGAAATGGATGCAGCCCTGTCTGTGTTAGATGCAAAAAGGGATGATGCGAGAAGCAGAAAAATGAAAGAACCCAAACTGGTATCAGTGAATCCTCACTGTAAATACACGCTGTCAGGACAGGGGCAAAATTGGTTATAGCCCTGCAGGATAAATCAAAGAATTGATAATCACAAACATAATATTCACTGTTAAAATCAACTGGTCAAAGGTACTATAAAAAAACAGTAATGTAAATCAGTACTAAAATGTAAATCAGTGGTTAGTAATCATGTTCATGTTAATGTACCCCTACGGAATTGTGATTAGTAAAGATAAAAAAAAACAAAGTTTTGGACAACAGTACTATGTGGCCTAACCCACTCACTGTTACCTGGCTGTTTACCTGACTCCAGGAGCCCACAGCACGTCCGTCTCAACACACCTTAAGTCTGCACGCGACGTATAACAGGAAAGACAACCATGTACACTCACAAACAAATTTGTGTAATCAGAGACAGAAATCTGTGGAACCAACGGGACGTATTTATCACCCCCCTTTTGAAGTCGGTGGATTGTTGTTGTTGGTATCGGCCAAATCTGTGGGACCCTTGTGCAGTTTGATATGGTCCCTGTGTACCCATTTGTAGACGGGCGCCTTGTTTTTGTCGGCGATCTTGATCTGATACACGACCGGAGAGATCTTATCTGTAATGGACCATTTGGGCAAAAGTTTCTTAGTCAGCTTCCCCGAGGTTGCATTCTTGTTACCCGTTTTGGGAGCGAAAATGTAGTACCAGGCCTGATCATCTACATCGAGTTCGGAATGTGAGGCTTTCTTATCGTAATAAGTTTTTCTGCCTTCAGCTGACTTTTCCAGAGATGCCTGTGCGAAGGAGAATGCTGCAAGCAGGTGAGTTCTCAGGTCCTGCAAGTATTGGCCGCTCGTACATGCCGGGGCTGTGTCGGACCGAACCGGTCGTTGATACAGCAGGTGAAGCGGTAGAGTCATTTGTCTGCCCGTCATCATTTCAAACGGGGAGACACCTGTAGACTCATGGGGGGTAGCCCGTATGGCCATGAGGACCAACGGAAGTTTCACATCCCAATCTCGGTGGTCGTGGTTTACAAGAGCCTGAGGGGGCCTGGCTGGCGGGACTGACGCGATGGCGTCGTCCGAGCAGTGTTGGCACGCAGCCAAACCCATGCCAAGAGGGCTACGTCGGTTCTGGGCGTAGCGCACCTCGATGTCGAAGCTTTGAAGAGCCAGCAGCCACGAAGCGATTTGTGAATTGGTCACCACACCATCTCTGATGCGCTGACTGTTAAGGAAGGTCACCGGCTGGTGCTGTGTCTCAATGATGATTTTCTGTCCGCCAATGTAGTTCGCAAAGTACTTTACTGCCCACATGGTGGAAAGCAAAGCCTTTTCACAGTCCGAATATTTCAACTCAGGTCCAGTCAAGAGCTTACTAGCATAGGCTACGACACGCCTGTCGCAGTCATGAATCTGGTAGAGACCAGCACTCAAACAGTGAGCTGAGAAACCAACCTCAAGGTGGAACTCCTTGTCACAGTCGGGAAGCGCCAAGCACGGAGCCGAGCACATCGTGGCCTTCAGGTCATCCATGGCCTGCTGGTGCTGCTCCGCCCACTCGAACGCCACATCCTTCTTCAACAGATTAGTCAGAAGTCGTGCCAACTCAGCGTAATGTTCCACGAACTGACGCGAGTAGTTGCAGACCCCCAAGAAGCTGCGAAGTTCGGAGACGTTCGTCGGAGGTGTGATGGTGGCAACACCCTGAATCCTGCCAAGCTGAGGCTGCACTCCCTGTGGTCCCACAAGGAGGCCAACGTACTGAACTTGCGACCTGCACCACTGTCCCTTGGCGAGAGAGATCTTAGCATCCGCCGCCGCGAGCTGACCCATGACATGGTCCAGCTCGGCCAGGTGGTCATCCAATGTACGCCGACGAATAAGAATGTCGTCGACATAGATGAGGGTCCCTCGCTCTCGAGCATCAGGGCAGGCCATGTTCAAGAAGATGTTGAACTCAGCTGGCGAGTTGGAATAACCAAAAGGACACCGGGTGAAGGTGTACTGCCGGTTGGCAAAGGAGAAAGCAAGTTTGTGTTGGTCCGATTCGTGGACGGGAATCGTCCAAAATCCGGACGCAATGTCAAGTGTGGAAAAGTACTTAGCATCTTTCACTTTTGGAAGCTCCTGCTCCAGGCGTGCTATAGGCCACCTAGACAAGGGGACCTGTTTTTTGAGTTGCCGGTAGTCAATGGAAAGTCGCCACTTACCATTATGCTTCAGTACCGGCCACAACGGAGCCGAGTAGGTGCTGTTGCAGGGTCGAATGACCCCGTTAGCCAAGAGGCTGTCAATGATTTCCTGGACCGGTGCTATGGAAGCCAGGGGAATCTTGTATTGCCGCACAAAGGACAGCGGTGCATCTGGCCTGGTAGGAATCCGGACTTCATGGATAGTGGTCAGACCACAGTCCAAGGAGTCAAGTGAAAGAAAATCCTGGTACTTTAGCAAAAGTTGTCGTAGCTTGTCTCGCTCGACCTCGTTTGTGAGAGCATCTGCTTGGTCTATTACCTTCTCAATCTGTGACAGAAGTTCCGGGGGTCTACCCGGTGGCTTCGAGAGTGGTGGTGAGGTCGAAATCGCGTCCCCCCGCGAAAGACTTGCCACCGAAAGGCGTCCGCCTGTGTCAGGCCGCGGTTTGTATGGCCTTGGCTTCCTCACACGTGCAAATAGTTGTCCGGACGCGTAGCTGATTCTAGCGTCAAGGCGTTGGAGACAGTCCAACCCTATGAGCATGGGCATCCTCATCTCCTCGTTGATGTACACGAGGTGTTTAAAGGACATGCCTCCTATCGAGATGTTGACCTCAATCGTCGCAGCCGCGGACGAAGGTACGCCATAGAAATCGTCAAAATCCTTTGGGCCCGAAATTAGTGTGGGGGGTGAGATGTCCTCCCCCCTTTGTTCGCACATGCTGCTGTAAAGAGCTCCGCTGATGAGCGAGATGTCCGCTCCTGTGTCTAATAATGCGACACAGCGATGTCTCTGATTTACAGTGACCTCCACT